GGGGGGGGGGGGTGTTAAGCCGGTGTGAATGGAAGGGGGAAGGACAATCTTCGGCGCTTATCAACGCGTAGACGGGATGGTAGGGTGGTGCGGAACGATACCCCCTCGGCCACCCAACCTCCGACCTACTGTTGTACACTGAGAATCCTACAATAACAAAAGTGACAACGTCAACGTCAACGTCAACGCGCAGGCAAGCCGCTGAGTTCGTGGCTGCGTCCGGCGGCCGCCAGGACAACGGTGGCTCGCTGCTGCCGCCACCGCCGCGTGCCACTTCTCCCAACGCCGGAGGCGGCAGCATCCTGGACGATGAGTCGGAGGGGGCGGGGGGTGACGGCATCCCCGCAGAGTCGGAGCTGGCGGACGCGATGGCCGGGGTGGACTTGGACGAAACGAAGTTCAGCAAGGTGAGAGAGCGTTTTTTTTTATTGCTGCTACAGGTACGGCCACACTGAAGAACGTCTAGTTTTGGTCGAGTCTGAGGTTCTTAGTTCTTCGTGTGGGCTACAAATGGCCGCTGTTACGTGGAATTATTTACCGGGCTCCGCAGTCGAAACAATGGTGTCAATGTTGAGCGTGAACTTCTCAATACGGGCGTTATCTGTATGGAATGAATAGCGATCCGTTTTTCTGAGTACTGCTATTGCGTATTTTTCTCTCCGGGGGGTGTGCCGATCTGTCTCATCCAAGAACGTGGAGGTAAGTCAATAGTCCGTGTTGCTCCTTGTTTACACCAAACATGTTCTCCACCTCGCCCAAGACGCGTCTGTCTCATTGTCCACCTCGTCTCCTGAGAGGTGTATGTACCGATGGGATCACTGCGACACTATGATATTCTTGGGGGGAATACACTAGCAACGCGATTGTATTCCAAAGCTCTACCGTATATGACACAAGATAACACACCCCCTTGACCGATGTTCGAAGCTCGATTACTCAACTGCAGGAACAGTCACAGCACCGAAAACGGCGGCGTTGAAACCGTCTCGTCGAGAGCTTCTCGAAAATGTATCATTTCGTTTGTGCATCCTCTTCGTCGTGGAGGAATCGAGCTTTGAAAATCGGTCCAGGGGGTATGTTATGTTGTGTCATACAAGTATACGGTACTCCCCCCTCCCTGCAGAAACAAGGCTTGCCCTCAAGGATTGGCCTCCCTCTAAACCCTCGCAATTCCCCGCCAACGCTCAAACAATGGTGTCGTTCTGATGATGCCGCTCTTCCTGCTTTCATTCCCACAATACCAAAACGAACCAAATTCTAACAAAATCGCCCCAACAACAAACGTTGCCGTAACAACAACAATGGGTCAACAAAGCCCGGCGGCGGCGGTTCGTTCTCCGGAGCACCACCTGGCGTTGTTGGAGGCGGCGCCGGGGCGGCGGGGATGTCGAATGGCCAGCCCCTGTCCAAGGAGGCGGAGGCGGTGATCAAGAGGTCTCTGCTCGTGGGTAACTTCGAGGCGGCCGTGCAGTGCTGTATGTCCACGGGGAACATGGCAGACGCCATGCTGTTGGCCAGGTACGTGCGCACGCCAGTGCGTGTGCCTATTGGATGAGTCGGCGGGTTGAGTTGGTCTTGTTGTCTTGAGATGGATTGGGTTTTCGATTGTTTATTATGACCCACGGTCACGTTGACGTTGACGTTGACGTTTATGGATTTGGTGGTATTGCGTGTAGGGCGAGCCCTTGTTTTTCCGCGTGTTGTACGCCTGCCGTCATCAACCATTTCGTCATGCGTTCGCCTGTTGGCATAGTCGGACTGCCACAACTTTAGAATTCTCGTTCCAAAACATCAACAAGCAACGGCAGCTCCTTCCGTAGGTCAGAGAAAACTCCAGACGTGGCCGCTGTTTTTTTATGCAAAAGTACTGCGATACTGCTGTTGAGACCAAACTAAACCAATTTAAACCAAAGGCAAGAGGATAGCAAACGAAAAAAGAAAGCGAAGCGATACAGGCGAAACGACACATGCGAAACGATACAAACGATGCAAACCACATGACGCATCCCAAATGACGCAAACGGAACAGCTGCGGGGGCGCGGATCTATGGGCCAAGACCCAAGCTCAGTACTTCGCGCGGGAGTCGCATCAGCGACCCTTCCTCAAGGTGGTGAACGCCATCATAAAGTCCGAGCTGGGGGTCCTCGTGGACGCGAGCGATCTCGGGCAGTGGCAGGAGACCCTGGCCATCCTGTCCACGTACGCCAAGCAGGTGGGTGAAACACACATGTTCAATATATCACACCTGAGGTACGGTAAGGTTTCGTTTGGTTGCCTTCCAATGCTTAACGCGATTCGCGGGAAATGGAACAAGAGGTGCTGCCCCGCGCATGGCGGCAACACAACATAGATGGGGACGTACGCCCATTCGAATTGGTAAAACCCCCACTGCTAATATTTTTACATGGTGCTGCTGTCTGTTCATGTTGTTGAATATCGTTGCGTGTCACCGCCGGCGAAACCGCTGGAATGGATTATCAGGAGGAGTTCCCTACTCTGTGCGAGGCCTTGGCGTCGCGACTGGAGACGGAGGCCGGGGACCGCAAGTCGGCTAACCTCTGCTACATGTGAGGGTGTGAGGGGGGGAGAGAGTTTGGTGGGCGAGAGAAGAGGGGGGGGGGGGGGGGG